GTTTTTTCAGTGCATATTTCTTTCTATCCCCCTCTTACCGCAGATAATTCCTTTTTGTTTTCAGTGGCCCTAAAATTATTCCTATTTATTCCCTTGTTGTGAAAGACCAGTTTACCTAACCATACAAAATAATAGGTAAAATTAGCTTCCAGTCTTTTAATATTATTTTTTTAGAAACGAGGAAGGACTAAAAAAATCCTGAAATAAAAGTTAATATAATTTTCTAAAATGTATTCTTCTTTAATTCTTCTATGAATATCTTTGATTTGTTCCTGTAGTTGACTTCGCCGAATTTTCGAAACGAAAATTTGCTGATTAGCCCAGATTAATACCCATGTTTATTAAGGTTTAGCGATGTATTTTCCGAAATGAGTTCTGTAGTTGAAATAAAATACAAGTGGACAGTCAGACGACAGATTATTTGGTCGATGGGCTGTCGTACAAGCAGATAGCCAGTATGTACCATCAACAAGTCGATCTTAAAACTAACTACCATAACCTATCTGTTAACAAGGAAAGTAGACTTCAAGTATTTTACACATATTCATACCTATACAGAAATTATCCCGAAATGTTCTTCAGACTAGGAGCGTTTGTTTGAAGTTCAATGTGTTCTGAGGACGGACAGTTATCACTGAAATATAATTACAGAAAAATATTCGCGGGAATTGCATTCGAATACGCAAAAAGTACCACTTCGCACTTCGTATGTCAACTTTCCAATTGTAGTAGTTCGGCAACCACCCGGCAGGTTACGACAGCGTTCAGTTGAGCACAATCATATGTGAAAACAGTTGAGTGCAATCATGTGTGAAAACTTATATTTGCTACAAATAAATGATATTCTGTGCGTGTATATTTGTGCAGCAATCGTTGAAAGGTAATAATTGAACAGCAGTTACTATAAATATATGGTAATACTTTTATATTATTGAAGAAACAAGGGATGTAAATTTTTAAATTCGTTTGTGTGTGCTGATCAGATCATAACCTAAATATTTGCCACGTTTTTATCCTCGCGTCAACTTCAAACCTGCAGGGTCCCCACGGCGAATATAAACACGCAAAAGATTTTGTTATTAGTAACCAACATTGCGTTAGCATAACCCGAAGGTTCTCTGCCACTAATAACAAATCCCGCAACTGAACACGATCCCTTCGCCTTCCATTCTCAAAATTTACCTCCACATGATGTTCTTTGTCTTCTCTTCCAAATTTCTACTGGGGGTTTCCTAGGTACTTTCCCCACGAAAATTCAGCATTCATTGTCTGCCCACGTGCCTAGCACATTGCAGTTTAAAGTTTCAGGAAGTGTCCTGTATAAATCATATAGTTTCTCGTTACGTATTACCCTCACTTGCTTGCTTATTCCGTGGATAGTGTCAATAACAGTAGCCTACATGTACCATTAACGGGGTAGACAGTTCCGAGTAGTTGTGAGATATCTCGTTCCCACGACGGCGAGTATAGAACTGGTTGTCTTCTGGGTTGTAGCGCCGTGTAATCTGGTGAATGTTTACCGGAGTTTCAGAGATGATTACTGCCACCATCATCGCCTACATCTACCTGATGATGGAGGCAGCAAGCACAGTCACTGTCATACTCGTCGTCGCAGGAACCAGAAATCTCACTTAGATTAATTTACATTCAAAATTGGTCACGAAATTGACATTTTTACAGATCAGCGAAAATTATACATTACACAGCGGTCTGTAATGAATAAAACAATAATTTATAATAGGTTTGATAATTTCATGTAGTTGTAAAATATACTAATAGACCTGTTTTTATCTGTTGGCTGATGCGTGTCATTAATTATTCTTATTCATCTTACAATTATTACTGGCATTATTTTTGTTACTTCTTGTGGAAAAATTGTTGTTTCTGATCGAATTTATTGTTAATTTTTCCCTATTTAAGAATAAATATAAGAATTAAAATTTTCTTTTTATTACGTATATTTAGGAATTCTTTACAAACGTTATGTTACTTGCATACGCTATGAATTGTTGTTAAATAAATATTTTAAATTTGTTTTGCAAAACTTAGATTTAATTAAGATTATCAGCTAATAAATAAAAATGTCTATTTGTAAGATTTTATCGCTTGTATAGTTTGTACTTTAATGACGCTTTAACATGTCATTCCTTACTTTGCTTCTGTCTGTAAAACTTGACTTATGACATTGGCATAACGTCGTTAAATAATTCATAAACCAGAATATATAGACTGTTGCTAAATAATGTAGGATCTACCAACACTGTTTCAGGATTTTGAAAAATCTATTTATAGTGAGGCCACTAGATATCAAGGTGTTATGAAGTATGAAATTATTTAGATTGGTGTTAAAGATTTCGTGATTATAAAATTAGTAACGGGAAGGGAATTTTGATAGTTGGAACTTCTAATTGTGCAAAGGCTGGATATAATGTGAGAGATTTTATTATTTAGAAAAAGAATGACACAAAATGCGATACACAGTTTTATAGGGAAGGAATCCATTGACGTTTGGTGCTTTTAATTGACTCAAGAGCTAGATGCAACGTAGACGTATTAAAAGTAAGATATTCAGTTGTTTGTATAAAAAGGAACTATATATAAAATTGTGCTGAATATGAGTTTTGTCATAATACATAAATATATTGAAATAAATGTCCTGTATTTCCATGTACCACATAGAAGTGCTCCCCAAATGATGGTATGTTTGAGGCGTCTTATCTGTTAGATTCAGTCTGCTATAAAAATCACATGTAAAATAGAACCTATTTTAAATTTTAATTTATAAATGCACACTTTAAAAGATTATTTTCACAAAAATCTTGTAGTTTATTAAGGACATGCTCACATTTTCCCTCTTTATGTTAAAACGAAACTTTGCTTGTGTGAAATTCACTACAATTGACAACGTAACACAATTGCCAATACGAATCTTAGCCGGTTACGTTGCATGACCGTAAGAGGTATTGAAAAATAAGCAGAGGTTTTAGTTTATTCAAACAGGAAATCTGATCATTCTAAAAGTGTATTTCATAGAAAGCTTTCCTGTCCAAACAAAAAGAAATTTTGATTGAGAAGTTCTTTCGTAAAAACAGCGCAGTAGACACGTACGCGTAGAAACCTGTTTACCATTTTACACGCATTTTCCAGTACGGAATATCGAAAACAGTCATTTCAGCAGCCCAATCTTATAGTTCAAGGAAATAAATCAGAATTTGCCTATCTAGTTAGGCATTATAAGAAGTTTGTTAATAAAACGAGCTGTACGCTAATTTTTAAAAGTTAGTAGACATTTTTGTTTTCTCCACAGCTGTCAAGTACGTTCTGAATGTGTCATTGAATGGTTTCTTCCGAAATTATAATATTTTGAATAGAATGATATTTGACTGATGCCTTTCTAGCTGAACTCGCTATGACGATAAAAGTTATACTAGAAATATATAACCACAGACCTAAAATAAATTATTTATATTGTTTATTTGGTTTGTATTCCAAAATGAATCACTGTTTCTCGTACTTCATTGTAACATGTTAAATCGTATATCAGGGCCACGCTTTTTGCCTTTGGGGTCATTAGAAAGCTTAAAGTAATTCGCGTCTGTCCGATTTAAGTGCGGTAATGCAGTCTTAATTAAAATACTTCGTAATAGCTGTCGTATTTGCGACACACCTGAACAAGATTTGATTTATGTTAACATAATATGTATCTAAGGGACATTAATATTTGACCAAATATATTCTCGTGATTATTAATCAAACTAAACTGTGTTAATCCAACTAATATTTGATCTGTACTCTCTATAGAAAGTCACAAGTATCATTAATTTTCTGTAGCACTGGTGGCCATTGGTCTGAGTGTGTTTGTTGGTATATAAACAATTTCATGTTTATTAGAACACTTATGGATATCGAAAAACATTGCACATTCTATAATTTGTGGCCTATCTATTAACGCTGTTTCATTTAATAATGGTTTTATCGGTTAAAATGTAGTGCACAGTTGTTCGTCATTATTCCATTTCACAGACGTGGTAAGTCTTTATTTTCGTCGTTTGTAATTTTAAATCATTGCCAATATTGGATGAAAAATAAATTGAGCCGGATTACTAAATCGTGTGTGAAATTCTGTGTTGTGAAACAAATGCGACAAATAAAAAGGGAGGATTTTTAAATATATATTTCGTACAAAAGGAAAACTTGTCAAGGCAACTGGATGAATACATTTCCAATTGATAAGTATAAATGTGAAACTTAATAAAAAATGATGATCAAGGAATATACATCTAATGCATTGTTATTAATGGACCCTGACAAGAATCAACGCTAATTCCTTTAAAAATTTTCATTCGATCTGTTTTCGTGTTACTTAAAAGTGCCAAAAACTGTTTCTTTCTCAACACGGCTTATAATTGTAACCTTAGTCGCGAACGTATCCACAAGAAGTACATTTTTAAATTTGACTAGGCAAAGACGGATCTTAAATAATTTTATACGTGCTTTAATCTGTTTTGAAGCATTAAATATGTAACTGTTCACTCCAACTTTGTATGTATCAGGAATTGTATTGTTACCCAATATTTCCCCCAAAATGTATTCATTTGAAGAGAAAACTTTGTTCGGCGAGACATTAAAATACGTTGTTAAAATAGCCATGAAGTTCTTAGCATTAAATTATTATACTTCTGCTTACAAAAAAGACTGTACCCCTCCCTCGAGAATATTCCGGTTCGTTACCGGACTTTTTTCAGATATAACACTTCTCTCTTTCTCTTACAATTTATAGTAATCAGGAGCTGTTGTTAATTACTGTAGATAAATAGTTTGATAAGAAGTGTTTAGTATTACGTAAAAAACTTTGTGAATTATTAAAAATGTCCAGTGTTTTTCTGTAAAATTTAGACTCCGTAGTATGAGAGCTTGATTCAGTTCGCCACAGCAACTTCGTATAAAATGAACTAAGTAAGCACTCAGAGTGCCAGGCTAGAGGATTCTTTGGTACTCACCAGAGACGTCGAAGTGTTGTGTCAGAGGTCGTGAGCGCACGGGATGGTGGTGAGTTGTGGAGTGAACCCCAAGCAGATTTTACCTCACGTTATGTACTTGTGGCCCCAGTGTTGTATGCGTCGTGTGGCTGAGAATTGTCCTCTCTCTGTCTCCCTTGCTCCACCTCGACGCCTCTCACCCACGATCCAACTCTTTCCACCCCCACCTCACCCCCTCACCCTTTCTACATACATATCATGTCGTCCTCTTGTGTTATTTTATTTTCTTGTTTCATCTATCTTCGTGTTTATGGTCTACTAATTTCACATCCACATGTCTATTCATTATTTTTTCTTCAGTGTCAAGTAATATGTAGGAACCCTTCCCTGTTTATTTAACTTATGGCTTCGCAAACCACGCTGGATAAAATTACACACTGAGGAGTTTCACAATCTGTACACATCACCAAATATTATTACGTTAGCCTAGAAGGGGATTAAGATTTTGCTCTAAACTTTTGGATTTAATGAAAGATGGAAAATTTTGTGATTAAGTGAACGATTATCAACTTTCCGAGAAGGACTCTGCACCGTAGTTAGTTAATAAGGCCTTCAGATTCCACATGATGAAAATAACATTTAAATTGTTTTTTTATTTTATATTTAATGTTCTAGAGCCAAAATAAGGGCTTATTGAATTACGTACAATTAATAATCTTAATAAAATTTGTCATGTATAATTTAACAAAATAGTATATAATATTTATAATAAACTATTTACTTTTATAGAAATGAAAACAACGATGGTCTTAAAAGTCTGTATAGTTTTGAGAAAAAGTATTCGAGTTGTATCTCCTTGTTCATTACGTTTTATACAGTAATATGTCTGTTTGCCATTAAATTTGTTTGTACTTTGGTACAATGCCTTAATTACTAGCAGAGTTGTTTAAAAATAAGTATTTTAGGTATTTTTTATACTCGAGGCTAACAGCAACGAAAAAACAGAAAACAGTAGCGCATTCATTCAGATACGCTTGTTTACGTGAGAGCTTATATTTTAGAGTCCTGGAAATACTTCGGCGGATTTTTTTAAATACAGTCCCAAGAGAAATTACGTAGAATTAAGAAGGAAGTAACGCTGTAGAAAGACGCCGACTTGTGTCACTGGCTCGTAATCTTGTACATTATTCCAAACAAACGCCTCAAAATAATAACTTCTAGGCGTATTCATCTTCAAACTTCCTTATAAGTTTCTTTTTCAGGTTATGATGTATAGTTATTGTTTTGAAACTTGCATAAATTTCTTATCCCCCTTTACATTTCATGCATTTCTGAGCGTAATCATATATGTATGAGCATAATTATAACTTATATATATATAATTTTGCTCACAAATATATAAACGTTTTATTCTGAAAAATTGGATGTTAAATACTGCGTGGGAGACGTACACGTATGGGAAACATATAAATGTAGACGAAATCAAAGTGAACGGACTGGATTCAACTGGCTCGGGTTAGGGCGAAGTAGCTGGCGCTTTCCGGATTAGGTTTTCGGACCAGAATTGTATATGCTCGTATCGCTTCCATGCTTGTCACATGCTGTTGCACTATAAAACTCTTTGTAGTATCGAGACCTGAGATAGAGAAAGAAAATATAAAAATGTTTACATATATATGATAAGAATGGCGTTAATGCGGGGGCAGGCTTGTTAAAATTAATATATATATATTTTTTTTGTGGTATCATATAGAAATTTTTTCAACTTGTGTAGCTCGAGTCAAAGAACGCTATGTAGATCTATTCGCGCAGGTATCGAATGCACCTAATTGGCGTAATTGTGACAGGGCTCAAATGTGCAAGATTCCATGATGATTAATCCCACATGAATTCCTGTACAAGAATAATGAATAGCCAAGCCTTTGCTTGCATCAGCAGTACATCATTAGTTACAAATTGCCGCTGACCAAGTCCTTTGTAACAGCCATGCATACAGAAACCTGCTTTATCTGCCTTGAAATTGCTCAAACGAATGGATTTTCTCTTTGTATCGACTATCATGATTAGATTTATCAAGTTTGTGTGAGTCTCCTCCTCCCAATACTTTTTAAAGTCTTTCACTAACTCAATGATAGCAAAGCCTGAAGATCTGTCATCACCGAAACTAAAGCCCATCATCGGACGTGATTCTGAGCCGGTTCTCTATGCCTCCATTCTTGATAACCTCGTATCTTCATAAGGCCCATCTTAATGTTATCATCCTATCACCTTCATTGTATTCGACATGGCCATTGCCGAAATCCTAAACGCATTTCCTTCCTGTCCAAACCTAACCACACTCTCTGCCCCTTGCATTCTTCTTTCACTATCGTCGTTTTATGTACAAATCACGTATTTCTGTACTATGTAAATTAAGTCCTACTTAATCTCTTTCGGTATCAGATATTTTCCTGAATACTTTGTTTTCAGACACTTGTGATTTATATTTTTCCCTGAAATTACGAAACAATTGTCTTACACCCACACAAGCCAGCAGGCGAAATATCTGTTTAGTAAAGTATACGAAACGATAATATTGCTCGAACTGAATAATAAGCTTTACAGAACCTGTTCGTCTCCTAATTTTGTAAAGAGTTTTATTTTTGTTTCTCAATGTAATTTCCATAAATATAAATGTTTAATTATTCTCGAACGCCGAATAAAAAATGTAATATTTTGAGTCTAAACAGCAACTTATTCAGGCTGTTCAATTCCAGACGTTTCTAATTCTGAAGCAAAATTTTAACGAAGAAACTTGACATTAATCTTGCTAATTCTTTTCTTCTCTAATCTTCCGAAAGTTTTTGTTTAACTCCTTCCAGCAGAAGGTTGGACGGAATTTTAGAAGGGGGCACTTTCCCTAAATTGTTTACGAACATTTTTCATGTTTTCTGACAAATGGTGATTAGAATAGGGAAATTGTACGCCATCCTGTTTATGCAATACGTATTCAATTCCCTCAGAAGAAGATTTTTTATAATATTGAAATGACACACTCTTATCGAAGACATCCACCGCATTTTTTCTTATTTCCCATCACGAAATGTTGCTTGGGATATAAATAATAGAATACGTTCGTCGTTTTCACAAGTTTCTTAGTAAGTGAAAGTGGGGGCACAGTATACAAACAGTTAAGCCTCGGTGATTCTTAATTAATGGTAAAGCTCGCGCGATAAATCTGTTGATGTTTTATTGACTGAAATGCATATTATCTCTGTTCATTGACCAATTTTCTCATATCAGAGAGATTATTGCTCATTGGATTTTGAACTCATGCGCGTAATTAATTGACCATACTGCGGAAACCATAACCTAACTGCACGTAGGTGTGTGGTCGCTTCGAAGTATTACACACAAACGCTAATTTTCTGGCTTCAGAAATTCTTAACGATTGTATAGCAATTCATTGTCGGCTTCAATCCTGGCACTTAATGAACAGCAGTATTGAAGATTTCTGTCTTCTGGGTTGTTGCGCTGTGTAGTCTGGTCGATGTTAACCAACGTTTCAGAGGTCATACTGCCTCCGTCATCAGGGCGATGAGTATGAAGATTTCGTCATCGCCCTGATGACGGAGGCAGTATGACCTCTGAAACGTTGGTTAACATCGACCAGACTACACAGCGCAACAACCCAGAAGACGGAAATCTTCATACTCACCGCTGTGAGAACCTCAAGTCTTACAACAGCAGTATTACCCGCTGGTGATGAATGGAGTTATCCCTTCACTTCCCCATAAGATTTCATTGCGTAGTGCTCAATGAGTAGCAGAGAAAACTTTGCTCTAATGGAATGTCCTAGTACAAATCATCATCATCTAGTGCACTTTCTTTTACAAGGACAGGTTGTCAGCCTATCGCCCCCAAAAAAGTACAAATAGGCTATTTCTTTAAGCTATCGCAAGAAATGTTTGGGGTTTATTATTATTATTATTTAACGACGCTGTTTCAAATTTAGTAATTATAGACCTCAAATCAGATGGGAAGGGGAAGGTGGTTATGAATTGTAAGTAGGTAAGTATGTGGAAGGATGCGGTCGTGGCGTGTTTCAATATTTTCCTGGACGTGTTCAATGAAACCTTATGATAGCCGGTAACCCGACAAGATTTGGACCAAGTACCTTCCAAATAAGCATCTAATGATTTACACCTACATTTTGGCATTGTAAGTAATGGAATTCCCTCATAGGGAATTCGACAAAGTTGTGTGGTCACTCTGAATGAGTATTGTTCGCAAAGTATTACAAGCTCTGGCTTATTTGTTTTCTCATTCTGTTGACAGTCCTTATTCATGCAATAAAGTGTAACAACAGATTTTCATCCCACAAGTTTTTTGATCGAATTTTATCTTGTTTGCGTATTGCCCACACACCATAATATTCCTAAAATTATCCGCGACCGAATTCTTAGCCGTAAAGTTTACCGCTGATAAAGATGTTGATTCTAACACACGACTTCAATAATCTTCTGTCAGTTAATTCTCTCCTTACCCGTGATTTCACATTTTCATTTTTATTGTTAGCATATTTTCATTTATAAAAGGGAAATGTGGGCTCATGAAATCACTAACTGTGTGTCCCCTTTCTCAACCAATTGACCACTTCCACGATTTGTCACTGGACGCCAGCACATCCTTGTACTTCCTAATTTCCTATAATCAATATTAACGACATGAAGGGCTTACGTCCTAATGTACGACCTCGAACTTACGTACTGTAATAGGTCGTCTGAAGGAACGTAACTTTCGTTACGGTAACTGTTATCTTAAATGTGAAACGACACGATAATGGGTCTTGCGAAAATTGCCATTTAACTTTCAATTTGACAGCGATAATTAATGAACCACTGGAACTAGGAATATGAAATTTCAAATTAAGATAAATTAAAATTATCTGTTAAAATGCTTTATAAAGCAACAGTTACGGACATGATTATGCCGGCATATGGATATGTACCTAACAATCTTAACACAAAATCTGTATTTAATCTAGACTTTCTGAAGAAAGGTATTATTGATAATAATGTGAAAGTGGCGTATTTAATAAAGAAAGCACTGAAGCGATTCTAAGTAACGAAACAAGATAGCTTTTAGTATCAGAAATTAGCTTGTGATGATCTACAGAT